CATAACCCTTTGTTTCATCATTTTGAATTTTACACAACAAAGGATCATAAAAAATTCTCCACATTAAAGGTGAAATAATTTCTCCTTGATCAATCCTATCTTCAGCTATTACTGAATTTAAATTGATTTTATTTACATAGTTTTAATATTATATATTTATCTTATTTTTGTATTTCTTTAATAAGATTCTGTTAATTTATTTTATCTATAATATCTTTAACATTATGTGTATCTATTCTTATCATCTTTTTATTTATTTTATTCTCTTTATTGGTTATTTTTTTTATTAGTCTATTCGTATATTTTTTATTTAAGAATAATTTTTACTTACAAAAATGATATTATGTCTAAATTTTTATTATGTTCTACCATATTGTTACATTCTATCGGTTGTTTTTGCCCTTGTTCATAATCTTTGATGAGAAGGAAATGGGCTCTTGCTCCTCTTGGTCCAGAGTTACCTTAGTCACATGATTCGTGTAAACAAATATAATATTTGTCATACAATGTGCACATTTTTTTTATCGAGTTGATGTGTGCTTATCAAGATTCTCTAATGTTACGGAATCAGTTTATGAATGTGATCACCAATTCTACCGCAGTTTACAGTACGTGTAAAAAAAAGAAAGAAAGAAAGAAAGGAGGGCAAGGTATTTAAATAGTGGCGAAGAGAATAGTGACGGTGGGAAACAATATATCTTGCTTTCATAACGTTAATATATTTATCGTTTCCTTCATTGCCTGATTGTGTTCTGGTTTTTCGTTTTCACTTATTCACGACATCCCATAAATCGAGTAAGATAAGAAAAAAATAATAAATATTTGTTAATATATAGTAGCAGTATAGTGCGACAAGTAAAGAAGGCACGTACTTGGATGTTCCCCAATCATATTTGCGAGTGGTGCACTACACCATGACGATTATAAAAGTATAAAAGAATTGGCAAAGATGATAAAAGATTTGTCATAGACCTTATACTGTACGTATCAGCTGTTCTTCCCTAAAATTCAATCACGTGATAGAATTTAAGGCAAACATACTAAAATGTGAAGTATCATGAAACTATTCACTTATCATTTCTCCACATAGCCTATAAATATGCGAGTAAGAAATTTCTTTATTTTTTTTAAATTGTGTGATTGGTCAAAAGATTTATCCCAAGCAACTGTCCAAGTAATATATGCTTATGATCCCGTTTTTACATTCCTAATTTAATTCTCGTGCGAGATTTCGCCGTATTGCTATATTATGTGAAATTTACAAGGGTTATCTGACAATATACAAATAATGGGATGAATGTGAAAACTAAATTAAATGTCCCTTTTCACCTAGATTTGTAAGATACGAAACTGTCAGGGATTGATTTATGAAAATTAGTCAAATTCACCACGAGAGATGGTTCTTGTGCATCTAGTCGAAAAATTTTTTGACATGAACTTATCATATACTTGTTTATGAAAAAACTTTGTATCTAACACTTCAGGAGAAACCTGGTTACTGTTTTTTTTTTTTTTTTTTGACGCTAAATAGCGCAAGAAATTTAACCCACCACCTTTACTGAATAAAAGAATAAACATACAGTCCGTATAGATAATAAATTTTAAAATGGGTTACGGAATATCTTTAATATTTGAGTGAATTTGTTTCTTTACTCTGATCTTGCAATTATAATATTTCAAAGCGTTGGTTCGCAATGATTACTTCTTTAATCACAATTTATTTCGTCTATCTTTCACAGAGATCATTCAAATAATAACGTATAATGCCGTTAATAACGCGTTTCTGTTGATCGTCCCGGTCGGAGTAGACCTCTCAAACTCAGTCTTAAACAACCTTAACACTTTAACGGAATTTTTGAATTTTAATAATTATATTCGGTTCTACCCAAATGGAAATCTAAATGGCACCTTTAAAAATGTAACGTATCAAATGGATGCGTTTGAGAGTGATGAGGGATTCAAGGCATGGGTCTTTATAGTTATATTGGCCACTTTTTTTGCTCTCGGTAGGTAATCAAGAATCTCGTTAACTTTTATAATAATACTAAAAAAAAATTTTTTTTTTTTTTTTTAAACTATTATAGTCATATATTCCATTTTATCTTTCTACGAGGAAAGAAGAAATAAAATTTATTTTTTCTTACTAGATCCGTAAGCCTTGCATTTTGTAACGTTAAAGTGATTTTTAATACCCCATTCGTTTTAATATAATTTGCTTTAATATGTTAGGGTGCTCGTTGTTCTTTGGCTCACCGAGGGTAAGTATATCACACGTAAATTCTTGCATAAATAATAAAAATTCTAATAAAGTCAATCTTTTTTTAGTCTTCACTAACCTTACGTATGCTTATAACGGCATTAACTTATCGCAATACGGTCTCAAGGCTATTTATGTACTTTCCAATCTTTTGGGTTGGACACTAATGTTGAGTTTTGTTGTGACTGGGTTTTTCTCATACAAACTCCATAACGAAA